GGGTAGGATTAGCGGTGGGTTAGGGATGAGGGGGAAGAGATGGGTAGGATTAAGGGTGTGGTTAGGGATCAGGGGGCGGAGATGGGTAGGATTAGCGGTGGGGTTAGGGATGAGGGGGAGGAGATGGGTAGGATTAGGGGTGGGGTTAGGAATCAGGGGGCGGAGATGGGTAGGATTAGGGGTGGGGTTAGGGATCAGGGGGCGAAGATAGATAGGATTAACGGTGTGGTTAGGGATCAGGGGGCGGAGATGGGTAGGATTAACGGTGGGTTAGGGATGAGGGGGAGGAGATGGGTAGGATTAAGGGTGGGGTTAGGGATCAGGGGCGGAGATGGGTAGGATTAGCGGTGGGGTTAGGGATCAGGGGGCGGAGATGGGTAGGATTAGCGGTGGGGTAAGGATGAGGGGGAGGATATGGGTAGGATTAGGGGTGGGGTTAGGGATCAGGGGTGGAGATGGGTAGGATTAGCGGTGGGGTTAGGGATCAGGGGGCGGAGATGGGTAGGATTAGCGGTGGTTAGGGATCAGGGCGCGGAGATGGGTAGGATTAGCGGTGGGGTTAGGGATCAGGGGCGGAGATGGGTAGGATTAGCGGTGGGGTTAGGGATCAGGGCGCGGAGATGGGTAGGATTAGCGGTGGTTAGGGATTAGGGAGGGGGCGGAGATGGGTAGGATTAGCGGTGGGGGTTAGGGATCAGGGGGCGGAGATGGGTAGGATTAGCGGTGGGGTTAGGGATCAGGGCGCGGAGATGGGTAGGATTAGCGGTGGGGTTAGGGATCAGGGGGCGGAGATGGGTAGGATTAGCGGTGTGGTTAGGGATCAACGGGCGGAGATAGGTAGGATTAAGGGTGTGGTTAGGATCAGGGGGCGGAGAGGGGTAGGATTAGCGGGGTTAGGGATCAGGGCGCGGAGATGGGTAGGATTAGCGGTGGGGTTAGGGATCAGGGGGCGGAGATGGGTAGGATTAGCGGTGTGGTTAGGGATCAACGGGCGGAGATAGGTAGGATTAAGGGTGTGGTTAGGGATCAGGGGGCGGAGATGGGTAGGATTAGCGGGTTTAGAGATCAGGGGTGGAGATAGGTAGAATTAAGGGTGGGGTTAGGGATCAGGGGGTGGAGATGGGTAGGATTAGCGGTGGGGTTAGGGATCAGAGGGCGGAGATGGGTAGGATTAGCGGTGGGGTTAGGGATCAGGGCGCGGAGATGGGTAGGATTAGCGGTGGGGTTAGGGATCAGGGGGCGGAGATGGGTAGGATTAGCGGTGGGGTTAGGGATCAGGGGGCGGAGATGGGTAGGATTAGCGGTGGGGTTAGGGATCAGGGCGCGGAGATGGGTAGGATTAGCGGTGGGGTTAGGGATCAGGGGGCGGAGATGGGTAGGATTAGCGATGGGGTTAGGGATCAGGGGGCGGAGATGGGTAGGATTAGCGGTGGGGTTAGGGATCAGGGCGCGGAGATGGGTAGGATTAGCGGTGGGGTTTAGGGATCAGGGGGCGGAGATGGGTAGGATTAGCGGTGGGGTTAGGGATCAGGGGGCGGAGATGGGTAGGATTAGCGGTGGGGTTAGGGATCAGGGCGCGGAGATGGGTAGGATTAGCGGTGGGTTAGGGATCAGGGGGCGGAGATGGGTAGGATTAGCGGTGTGGTTAGGGATCAACGGGCGGAGATAGGTAGGATTAAGGGTGTGGTTAGGGATCAGGGGGCGGAGATGGGTAGGATTAGCGGTGGGTTTAGAGATCAGGGGTGGAGATAGGTAGAATTAAGGGTGGGGTTAGGGATCAGGGGGCGGAGATGGGTAGGATTAGCGGTGGGGTTAGGGATGAGGGGGAGGAGATGGGTAGGATTAAGGGTGTGGTTAGGGATCAGGGGGCGGAGATGGGTAGGATTAGCGGTGGGGTTAGGGATGAGGGTGAGGAGATGGGTAGGATTAGGGGTGGGGTTAGGAATCAGGGGGCGGAGATGGGTAGGATTAGGGGTGGGGTTAGGGATCAGGGGGCGAAGATAGATAGGATTAAGGGTGTGGTTAGGGATCAGGGGGCGGAGATGGGTAGGATTAGCGGTGGGGTTAGGGATGAGGGGGAGGAGATGGGTAGGATTAGGGGTGGGGTTAGGGATCAGGGGTCGGAGATGGGTAGGATTATGGTGGGGTTAGGGATCAGGGGGCGGAGATGGGTAGGATTAGCGGTGGGGTAAGGGATGAGGGGGAGGAGATGGGTAGGATTAGGGGTGGGGTTAGGGATCAGGGGGTGGAGATGGGTAGGATTAGCGGTGGGTTAGGGATCAGGGGGCGGAGATGGGTAGGATTAGGGGTGGGGTTAGGGATCAGGGGGCGGAGATGGGTAGGATTAGCGGTGGGTTAGGGATGAGGGGGAGGAGATGGGTAGGATTAGGGGTGGGTTTAGGGATCAGGGGGTGGAGATGGGTAGGATTAACGGTGGGGTTAGGGATCAGGGGGCGGAGATGGGTAGGATTAGCGGAGGGGTTAGGGATCAGGGGTGGAAATGGTAGGATTAGCGGTGGGGTTAGGGATCAGGGGGCGGAGATGGGTAGGATTAGCGGAGGGGTTAGGGATCAGGGGGTGGAAATGGGTAGGATTAGCGGTGGGGTAAGGGATCAGGGGGCGGAGATGGGTAGGATTAGCGGTGGGGTTAGGGATCAGGGGGTGGAGATGGGTAGGATTAGCAGTGAGGTTAGGGATCAGGGGGCGGAGATAGGTAGGATTAAGGGTGTGGTTAGGGATCAGGGGGCGGAGATGGGTAGGTTTAGGGGTGGGGTTAGGGATCAGGGGTGGAGATGGGTAGGTTTAGTTATATGTAAGGTGGGAGTAGTTGGATCTGAATCCAACTCCTTCCCCTAGATTTCGTGTTCTGCAGTGAGGACCATCTAAAAAAATCTGCTAAAAGCTGTGGGACGAATTGGAAAAGGCATGTATGCGTTCCCAGTACATACTCTGTAGCTGCTGGCGTCATCGTCCTCCATTTTGACCCCAGGCGTGTGTGTGCTGGGCTCCCCGAGGTCCGTCAGGTCCTGCCAGTCACACGACGAGTCTTTAGAAAACCCACTGAGGTCCAGCGACTGGTCACCACCACCCAAAGATGCTTCGTTATCAGGAGACGAAGATTCAAACTCCTGCTTCAATCCGGACGCCAACTCGGCCTGAAGCTGTTTTCGTTTCATGAGGGCTCGCCAGTCCAGGTACCGCCGCTTGACCTCGGCCGCCGTCCTCAGCTCACCTTCCCCTAGCGCGTTCACACTGTCCGCCACCTCTTCCCACGCTCGCCGCTTCAGCTCGTTGATGGCCATGTTCTGCTGCCGGGAGAACAGGATCTCACGCCGCTTGTGGATCTCGCGGATGAGAGTCTGAGTTTCCTTCACGCTGTAGTTACTCTTCCTCTTCCTCTTCAGGTGCTTCATCTGAAGGAAGTCCATGCTGGGGAGGGTGATCGGACACTGGGAAATGATTGGAGATTGAAAGGTTTCTGTCACTCCGGACACATTTTCAAGTTCATGTTGACCTGCATCGAGTGCAGGTGTCTAACACAGGTCTCCTACAACAAACAGACACTTTTAGTTACATGCAATAAATATAAGTGATAAAGAATCAGAACTGTACAATCTTTTATGTGCACAAAAAACAATGATAAATAAAACCAGAATGCTCAGAGTATGCAGATTTATACTATAATATATTTATACCATACTATAACAATTTGGGGTCAGTGAGATTTTTTTTTTATTGTTTTAGAAAAAAGTATCTTATGCTCACCAAGGCTGCACTTATTTGATAAAAAACACAATAAACAGTGAAATATTATTAGAATGCAAAATAGCTGTTGAAAACAGTTGTGCTGCTTCATATTTTTGTGAAAAGTTTTAAATGTGATCAGTTTAATGCTTAATTGCTTAATAAAAGTATTTCATTTAAAATCTGACCATAAACTTTTGAACAGTAGTGTGTACAGTATATCCTTTACAAATAAAGTTTGAAAAATATTCCATAATCATAATGTATTAATAACCATAATCATATTCCATAATGTTACACTGTAATTTACATTGAAATACTTTGTGATATAAATGAACAACATGTACTGACTATGGGTTAGGGTAGGATTAGGTTTAGGGTTAGTTGCATTTAATTATGCATAATTTTACTATGGTAAGCACATGTAACATGTAACAAGGACACTGTAAAACAAGACTGTTACCAACATTGGTTACACTTTATTTTAAGGTGTCTTTGTTACACTGTACTTAACAAATCGTTATTGTAGGAGCCGTTATTGTAAACTATATATACAATAATTATTATGATATCTGCATGTAACGTGTAACATTGACACTGTAAAATAAACGTTACTATAAGGTTTTTTTTCCATATATCTATGCATTTTTATTGTATTATTTTAAGGAACTAGGAGAATCATGTAAATAACATGATAATTAAATATGGTAGCCATGACATTCCCATCGGATACCATAGTACAACCATAGTACACATGAATGACTAGTAATAGTACTATGTTGTTTTTGGTGGGTATCCATATAACGTATGATCAGCAACATAGCATCAAGCTAATAAAACATAATTTATACTGAAAACATAAACATATTATTCAGTACGGCGGTTGTTTTTGCAGTTCAATTACTAAACATGTCGCCAGAAAGGGCTTCTATAGGCACCTATACTATGATGTTTGGCTCTTTACATAAAATAAACGTCATAATACACACCACACAATACAGTGTGCGGGTTATTTGATTATTTATTCAAACACTCACCGGTAAAGAAAAGCATCATCCACTCCGTCCACACACACACGCGCTTCGCTCCGCCTCCACATCGTTGCCGAACTGAGCCGAACACCTCCGACAACGAGCGAGTCCCTTTCACCATTGGTCAACGAGCGTCACCACCTCTATTCGTCAGCCAATCAAATGAGGCGCTCACTGTTTAGCCCCGCCCTCAAAATACTCTTCCGGAATCCTGTGTGTGTTTTGGACACGCTCAAGCGAAACAGCGCCAGCCAAACAAATGATGCATATGGCAGAAAAGACTATATATTAATATGTAATAACAATAATAATATTGATATTAAGCGCAATTATTAACTACTATCTATGGTCTGAGCACCGAATTGCGCAGTTTATAATGATGTGTATTTCTCCTAGTATAGGACATTAACAGTAAGTTAGTTGATGGACGGGGTCCGGTGGGCGTTCCGGTGCGGTTCGTGGGTACCGACCCGTTCCGAGTGGACACTGGCGGCCCGTTGCATCCAACCGGAGGAGAGGGAACGGATCGGGCAGTTCGTGTTCGCCAAAGATGCGAAATCTGCCATGGTGGGTACAACTGATAAGTAGACTTTTACAGTTAATGCTATAATAATAAATGTTGTAAGGAAAAACAGTTGTTATAATAATACATAATCAATGTTATAGTTGTATTTTGCCCTTCTTTTTTATGTCTGGATATTACTTTTTATTTGCACTGTTGTTATTTTTATGTTATTTACATTGCAGTTTCGCATTGCACACGCCTTGATACAAAAGTACAGTTTTTGTCAAATAAGGTCACTAAAATTGAGATAGATAGATAGATAGATAGATAGATAGATAGATAGATAGATAGATAGATAGATAGATAGATAGATAGACAGGGACGGACAGACAGACAGATAGATAGAGAGAGAGACAGACAGATATAGATAGATAGATAGATAGATAGATAGATAGATAGATAGATAGATAGATAGATAGATAGATAGATAGATAGATAGATAGATAGATAGATAGACAGGGACGGACAGACAGACAGATAGATAGAGAGACAGACAGATATAGATAGATAGATAGATAGATAGATAGATAGATAGATAGATAGATAGATAGATAGATAGATAGATAGATAGATAGATAGATAGATATTTACCCATTTTTGATTCTTGATATGTGCGTGTGTGTGTGTTTCTTACACCAGGCCGGGCGTCTGTTGATCAGAAAGCTGGTGTGTGAGAAGATGGGTTTATCCTGGGACGGGTTTCGACTGGACAGAACCGCGCGGGGGAAACCGTACCTGTCCTCGTCCTCCCACTGGAGCTTCAACGTGTCCCATCAGGGAGATTACGCTGTTCTGGGAGCAGAGCCGGGACGTCCCGTGGGCATCGACCTGATGAAGACCTGCAGGCCAGGTGAACTCTCACCTTCTGTCCGCAGGAAACAGGCACAGCAGATCATGTCTAATACTATTCAATTCACGTGTGTTTGTGCAGCGCTTTTCACAACACACATCATCTCAAAGCAGCTTTACTGAAAGTGCACGAGTCAGGAAAGCTTGCTGTGTAAATTAGTTTTCAATCTCGTAATATTCTGCAGAAGAGAGAAGCGAACCGCACTCTTTCTCAGCGTGTGATTGGCTGTTGGCTACTGACGTCACTCCTAAACTCTGGTTGGATTTTGTTTTGTCAACTCGAATCTAATCCTGTTCAACTACTATCATGGGACAGGCCCATAAACCATAAACACTGCAGTTCCCCCAGCGGCCACCAGGTGTCGCTCTATACCCGTGCTGGAGTGAGGCTGGGAGAGGAGCAAGCTTCATTACCTCATTTCTGGCTCTACTGTAAAGTGTGAATGTGGATTAGCTCATCGGTTTCTATGCAGAACATGATTATTGATTTATTATCTACAGAGCATGATTATTAAATCTTTGATTTGTCTCGATCTTTTGACGCAATACAAATTATAATATCAAATCTACGCATTTTATGAACTTTATCTCCATTGTGACATGACGGCTACAAGCTCATTAGCATATGACTGCGCACATTTGCATATCGACACCTATTCAGTATTAAGCAGCAGTTAGTCGATCGTAACAGAGCTCGATTATTTATAAAGATGGTAAAAACAGAATTGATAATAAAATCACTGATGTCGAATTCAGAGCTGTGAGGTGTTTTACGTGTGTGTGTTCGTCAGGCAGTGGCTCCACGCAGGAGTTTTTCCGCATCATGAATCGCCAGTTCACGGATCTGGAGTGGACGAACATCCGGACGGCCGGCTCGGACTGGGACCAACTGGACATGTTTTATAGGCACTGGGTAACTATAGCAACTATAGCATCATCATCATCCCCTTCAGGCAACAAGACACACACACACACGAGCATATCACAGCGCGAGAGAAATTGTACTGGATGAAACTGTTCCAATTCTGATCACTGTTTCCATGGCAATGTGATCTCATCACTTCAGCATGACTCAGTTGTGCCAGTCTGTGGTCATTTGAGGACTCTTATACACACACACACACATATACTCAAACAAACAAACACATACACACTCACTCACACAATCACACACAACACACACACACACACACATACCGGTATCAATGTAATGTGCTGTAGGTGAGACTGTGGTCAGGAAATAAACAGTGTTTTCCTTCCTGATTGGCTGTGATTGGTCGGTTTTTCTGGCGTGGAGGCACTGAAGGAGAGCTTCATCAAAGCGATTGGCACAGGACTGGGCTTCGACCTGCACAGGGTGGAGTTTCACGTCTCGCCCAATCAGATGCGAGAGGGCCAAGTGTACCGGCAGACGCGCATGTTCCTGGACGACGAAGAGGAGGACTGGATATTTGAGGTGTTGTTCGACATTTAGCACACACACTTTCATTCTTAGTATGCCCTTTCAAGAAGCCTTGACTTTGGGGTGTACTAGAATATGCCTGAAAGTAAAAAAAAAACATTATTTTTCACATATTTTACATCATTATAGCTCCTCTCTCCCAGTGCAAGCTCTACATCATGTAAATATTAACAATGGTGTCAATTTTAAACAACTCAAGCCTGATGTAGACTTCATGTTAACGAGCAGGAGGATCGTCCAGATTTCATTTAGTTGTTTTTCTTGAGAGGCGGCGAACAGTCTTACAGAAGCCTCAGCACACACTACATCAACACGAGCGGAGGCCAAGCCATCAGAGCGACTACATACAACTTACGACTGGAACTGTTAACAGAAAACACAGTGTGTGTGCGAACGCATTTGAGTTTTTAATATTTTTGAAAGAAAATTATCTTCTGCTCACTAGGGCTGCATTTATTATATATATCAAAATATATTTAAAAAATACAATAATTACAATTTAAAAAAAGTGTCATTTATTCCTGAATGTTCAGCATCGTTACTCCAGTCTTCAGTGTCACATGATCCTGCAGAAATCACTCTAATATGAGGATCTGATGCTCAAGACACATTTATGATTATTATCAGTGTTGAAAACAGTTTATATTTCTGTGGAAGGATTTTTTTCATGAATAGAAAAAGTTCAAAATTAGTTTGAAATAGAGTCTTTTGTGACATTTTAAATGTCGGAATAAAAAGTATTAATTAAAAAACAACATTTTGAATGGTACTACAGTATATAACTAGACAGGAACAGAGTGTTGGCCCAGATCTGGGCCACATCTGGAACATGTGGATTCAACATGTTGCATTCTGGGTATATATATATATATTATGTATGTATATATATATATATAAATATATACATACATACATTATATATATATATATATATATATATATATATATATTTATATTAGGGCTGTGCAAAAGTTAATTGTGATTAATCACATCCAAAATAAAAGTCTGTGTTTACATAATATATTTGTGTGTGCTGTATATAATTATTTTGTGTATATAAATACCTATGCATGCATGTATATATTTAAGAATTATTTGCGCTTAAATTCTGTATATATTTATAAATACAAGTATTTTATATATGAATAACACATTTTCTTAAATATATACATGCATGTGTGTGTATTTATATATACAAAATAATTATATACAGCACACACAAATATATTATGTAAACACAGACTTTTATTTTGGATGCGATTAATCGCAATTAATTTTTGCACAGCCCTTATTTATATATATAAATATCTATAAATAAATAAAAAATATATATATATATACAGTATATATATATTTATCTTGCCTAGGCCTATATGTAATTCAATTTAAGGGTTGGAAGTTAAAAAAGCGTAAAAACTCGCCGTGTTTTTCAGGAGAGCTTATTGGACAAAGATCATCACGTGGCTGTGGCGCTGGGAAAGCCAGACATCAGCACGTCTAAAGTGAGTTAACGGATGTTACACAACGCCAGAGGTCAGCAGTCACTTGGTGACATCATACTTCTTTGTTTTATAGGAGGACGGTGGAGGTTTGTGTGAAGCTCCGCCCCTTTTGTTCACTCTCTTGAGTTTCAGTGATCTGGTGGCTAGAGCCACGCCCCTAACCGAGGAAGACTCCGCCCACTGGGAGAGATTTCACAGCAAAAAGGAAGCGCCTTCAAGGCAAAGTGAACAGCAGTGACCCTTGAATGCAAATATATGTAAATAAAGTACATGTTTATGTATTGCTTGTTCTTTCGGGCTCGTTCCTGTTCTCTACGATCTTTATTACTTAAAGGGGTGGTTGATTATGATTTCACTTTTCTAACGTGAATCTCTCCATCAATGTCTGACTCTGGATTGAACATAAAAGCTCAAAGTTTTTGAAATTTTCAGTGCATGTGTGTGTGAGGTAAACCTCTTGAAGCCCCACCCCTCATTTGCATTTAAAGGTACAGACACAAAAACGGTATTTTTTTGTTCACCCTCAAAAAGTGACAATTTTAACATGCTATAAAATTATCTGTGGGGTATTTTGAGCTAAAACTTCACATACACACTCAGAGACTTTATAAAAGGGCATTACACCACCCCTTTAAGGCGACTTATGACATTGTTTTCATATTTTAGCCATCATTTGAAATGTCAATATTGTCAAACTGATTTGTCCCCAAACCCAAATACTACGCAACAAAACATGACAGAATTCATTAAATCTATTGATAATACTTGCCGATGTTTGTGCTGCTGTTTTCCCTCCTAAATGATGTCATTTCCTGGAGGATATTGTCATGAAGGAAGCGGCTTTAGGTAGTTAATGGGATCAAACTCTACTTATCCAGTGTATGACGCATCCGATGGGAACATGAAAATGGTATGAATGACCCATTTATGTAAGAGATGAGTTTATTTTCCCAACCTACACCTCCAAATGTCTCTCTTCTCTGTCTCGTTCCCTCCATCTGCCACTATCTATTTTTATCCGCAGACATTCAGCAGGCCATTAGGAGTGTGTGTTTGGCGGCTCCTGCTTTTAACAAATCGGACACAGGTATGCATTTCCGCTCGTGTGTTGTTTACTGCAGGACTGCGTTTCATTTGTCCAGTCGAGCCCCGCCCCTCGCGCTTGATTGACAGGAGGTTCAGCCATTCAGATCGTGAGCGACTGAGCCTGTCCAAACTCATACAGCTGAGTTTAAAACAGCAAAGTCAAGTACAGCACAAGCAGAACGGCCAAGGGTGAACTAATGGAAAACGGCAAATGGGATCTTTTTTAGATTAAACTTTACGCTGATGTAATTACATTTTCTCCAAAGTAGGAAAGATGGAGAGATTGAACATTTGAATATAAATGAGATTCTATAAGGTGATGCTTCACTATAAGATTTCTATTTATCAACATTAGTTAAGTGCGTTTAACAAAGATGCTGTAGAATTATTGTTCATGTTAATGTCTACATGTTATGTTCTAATACATTTTTAAATGAACTAACATGAACAAAAAAAATATGTTTTTATGGTAACACTTTACAATAAGGTTCGTTAGTTAACATTAGTTAACTACATTAGTTAATATGAACTAATAATGAATAGCACATACAGCATTTGTTAATCTTTGTTAATGTTATTTTCAACATTTACTAATACTTGATTAAAATCTTGTTAACATTAGTTAATGCACCGTGAACTAACATGAACAAACAATGAACAGCTGTATTTTCATGAACTAACATTAACAAAGATGAACAAATGCAGTAACAAATGTATTGCTCATGGTTAGTGCATGTTAGTAAATACATTAACTAATGTTAACTAATGAACCTTATTGTAAAGTGTTACCGTTTTTATTAACAATATTTAACAACAGTGAAATATATTGCTCATAGGTAAGCAATTATGTAAAGTTTATGAATGAGATCTATTGTAAATTATTATTACTCAATTTAATAATGCAATCTAATTAAAGTCTGCCGTACATAATTTGCAATTTTCTTGAAGATGTCCATAAACCAGACAGAAAAAAATGTTTAATATGATACAATATCATATAAATAAATTTTACATTTTGGCTTTTCATTTTTAAAACCAAGCACAATGTTTTTTTGTTTTTTTTTTAGTGTAATTTAAATATTTATATATAATTATTGAGAGATTGCATTTAATAAATAATTTATAAATAAAATGTAATAATATATCATTTATATTTACGGTGTTTATACACACATATACTATATATATTAACAACTAAGAGTTGTTAATAATAAAACTAAGAGTTGTATATAAGAGCAGGAATATTATGCTGATTTTACCACAGTTGCCCGTATTTTATTGGCTTAACATGAAGCATATTGGTGATGTTTAATGTTCAATAAATGATTACATTATTAATAGTATTTTTAATGAATAGTTGCCAAGGTGTTCTGAGGTGTAGCTTGATCGTAATGTAATGTATAAGCTAAATACAGTGTGTGCATATTGGCTGTTTTAAAACTTAAAACAGATTTTGATGCAATAATTATTAGTTTAATAATAAAATATTGCATATTACAGTCCAATATGCTTGTGTCCATTGGACTTCTTTATTGTCCTGAAATCTATTTATGTATATACTGAAATCTAACGGATATATACGTATATACAGACGGTATATCAGGCTGTTCTCCTGAATGCATCAGCCGAATGTTTCCTAAATCACTCGCTCATAAACCGGGAGAGCGGCGATGAAGAGAGCAGCTCTTCTACTGGGAGTATTTCTGTTAAAGATTTATCAGTCTCGAGTAAATCAGCATTGAAGGAGTGAGATGCATTAGTGTGTGTGTGTCTGTTTTCTGTCAGTCTGATGGAAAGTATTTCCAAATGTTAAAGGTTAAAACAACAGTACCGCTGTCCCATGAGAACGGATCTCTTCAGCGGGTTGTTCTCTTCAGAAGGTCACAAGACAAAGAGCAACTGGAGTCTGTGATTAATGTGCTGGTCTGAACAGTGAACGTGTCCTGAACGAAGGCTGTGTTTCTGTTTGGTTTCTGTCGTTGTGGACTCAGGTGCACTGACTTCACACACACACACACACACACACACACACACACACACACACACACACACACACACACACATAAGCTCATCTGGGTCACTGTCCCACCTTTTCTGCCGGGTGACGTCTCCTGATGGACTGTGGTTCTCCTGCAGACGTGATGGAGGCCCTGCGGGAGCAAAGGGGGGTTCAGACATGGAGAAACACACACACACACACACACACACACACACTGAAAAACAGTTACAGCACATGCTTCAGAAAAGCAGAGGGAATACATTAGCATTGGACAGAATGATAAAATTATGGATGGATGGATGCATGATTGGATGGATGGATGGAACGATGGATGGATGAGTGGATGGATGGATGGATGGATGATTGGATGGATGGATCGATGGATGGATGAGTGGATGGATGGATGGATGATTGGATGGATGGAACGATGGATGGATGAGTGGATGGATGGATGGATGGATGGATGGATAGATGGATGGATGATTGGATGGATGGAACGATGGATGGATGGATGGATGATTGGATGGATGGATGGATGGATGGACGATTGGATGGATGGATGGAACGATGGATGGATGAGTGGATGGATGGATGGATGGATGGATGGATGGATGGATGGATGATTGGATGGATGGAACGATGGATGGATGGTTGGATGGATGATTGGATGGATGGATGGATGGATGATTGGATGGATGGATGGAACGATGGATGGATGACTGGATGGATGGATGGATGATTGGATGGATGGATGAGTGGATGGATGGATGGATGATTGGATGGATGGATGAGTGGATGGATGGATGAAACGATGGATGGATGAATGGTTGGATGGATGAGGGGATGGATGGATGGATGGATGTTTGAATGGATGGAATGATGGATGGATGGATGGATGGATAGATGAGTGGATGAGTGGAACGATGGATGGATGAGTGGATATAGGATGGATGATAGATGGATAGATAGATAGATAGATAGATAGATAGATAGATAGATAGATAGATAGATAGATAGATAGATAGATAGATAGATAGATAGATAGATAGATAGATAGATAGGCCTGTAAAGCTGAATTCCTGAGCATAAAATATTGTTTCATCTGGTGTGTGTGAGCTGATTTTCTCACCCATCCTCCTCAATGACACACTCTCTCCCCGTCACCATGGTAACCATCCCGCACAGCCAACTTTGCCATGGCAACAAGAACATGTGTGATACAGGCAGTCATCTGAGTTAATCTGATCAACATCACTGTCAGAGAGAGAGAGAGAGAGAGAACTAGCATCTGGATTATGATGTTTCTGCATGTTTCCAAAACGTCCCATCAGAGACAAATCACACACACTCCTGCCCCAGCTGGGCCAAACACTGAAGGACATGTGACATGATCCATCCAAAGATTCATAATGTATTCACGTTTAGAATTTACACCGACTCAGATGTGTGGCATTACAAGCTTCTATTCTATTCTATTCTATTCTAAGATTTGAAAATGTTGTGGCATCTTGATTTCCCAATGATTTCCCAGAGTTCACAGTGCAAATCTCTGATAACCAATAAAATAACTGATATTTCAGTGACATTAGACTAGTGATGACATCATTACAAGCAAAGACTGACTCAAAGCAACTCAGATATTGAATAAATTTTAAAAGTAATGCGTTACTTTAGTTACTTTGGAAAAGTAATCTGATTACAAGTTACTTTTAATGCGTTACACACAACACTGGTAAAAAAAAAAAACATCCCAGACTGAATCATGTTTCATGTCTCTTGATGCTGGTTATTTGTATTTATTTTTACCTGTTTGTGAACAGGATCCCTGTTGCCATAGTGACAGTCGAGCCTTTTTGAAGCGTCACAATGAGTGTCAGAGTAAATCCCACAACATCACAATGTGCAGCGTCACCGTAGCGATGAACAACGACACCATGGTAACAAAGAATAATGTAGGTGAAAGCAGATCGTCCCACATTCACATACTTGAAGAGTGAAATTCGAGAAAATGAAAAGTTTATTCAGAGAATTGCATTTAAGTTCTATATATATATATATGTGATATGGATGGATAGATGGATAGACAGACAGACACTATAATTGTGCATCATTTAAAGTTTGGGATCAGTTTATCATATTTTTGAGAGAATTTTTTAATTATTATTCAGTAGGTATGCATTAAATTGATAAAAAAGTGACAGTAAAGACATTTAAAGAGATACATACGATTTCAAATAAATATAGCCTTCTTTAAACTTTCTTTTCATCAATTAATTTTTCACAGAATACCGTAGGCCTAAGCTATTATTTATGCGAATATGGCATAAACACACTTCTCAATCTCAAGTAGGCCTAATATCTTGATTTACGAAATGTTTAGATATGTGTAGGCCACTGCCAAACAAGACAAAACACTGAGAAAAAAAATCTATTTCTTCAGTGTGCAATAAAGTGAGGGTGTGTGTGTTGGGATAAAGGAGTTTTACTGTATCTCTGCTTGGCGGCTGGTTTGCGTCAGGCAGTTGTTTAGCTGTCATTTTGTTTGCCCAGTTTTCCTTTAGAACGGCTTCTCACAGACAGAGAAAGGTCAGAGTTTGTGACGGTCAGTACAGTAGACGGAGCTGTCGCACTATCACCTTTTCCTGAGGCGTTGGGTTTTTCATCTCTCACACACACACACATTGTCACGCGCTCAGAAGACGTGGATACACTCTTAGAAGAAAAGGTTCTATATAGAACCTTAAAAGGTTCCATCAGCGCTACGTATTTGGAACCCCTAAAAGGTTCTATACACTCTTAAAAAAAGGGTTCCTCTGGGTTCTATATAGAACCCTGGGGTTCCATACTAGGCCAATAGAACCTTTTACCAAAAAAAAAAGGTTCTATATAGAACCATTTTGGAGTTCCATATATGAAGCGGGGGATGGAACCATTTCTGGTTCTAAATAGAACCATTTCTTCCGAGTCTCCCAAAGTTAATATTGAGTCTTAATTAAACAAACAAATCTGCTTCTGAGATATAAAAATAAATGGATAGAGAAATTGGGTCGCGTAAATGTATGTTCTTTAAAAGCCGGTGTCTCGAGGACGCGCCTGAGAGTTTGTTATGTGTATGTGTGTGTGTGCGCGTCTAGGGAAGCTGTCTCATTTTTGACAGGAAGCCTTTAATCCAGTAGCCTAATTCATTTTATTTTCTCCGCCATAACCCCCTGAGGGAGATAAACCGACACACTCAACAACACGTCTCTGATCTTTCTCAGGGATTAAAATAGTTCAGTCAGAATTCGGAGCATCGAGCATGTGAACGTGTGTGTTATGACAATATTGACCAATGAAGATGTGTTTTATTGCTTCAGCTGGATATTTGACTTTCAGGTCATTCCCATGAGAGTTTCAGGATAGAAGCTACATGGGAAAATGTGATTTTGTGTATAATAGTATTTTTACAGTCACGTATTGTTGGTAAACAAAATGTAAACAACCGCGGCAGATGCACATGGGTTGCCAGAACTTTACCGTAAAATATTAAGAAAGTGCACACAGTGTCATACGCACTAATACAAAACACTAACAGACACTCACATAATGCAATAAACATTAATTTAACCACATAAGATGGCGCATAAAACAAACAAAAAAACAACAACAAGAAAAATGATTAAAAATCTGTTATTTCAAAGAAAACATATATAAGCCCTAGATAATTCTGGGAATGTCAATTCACATTTTCTCACTGAAAATTAAAAGATGATTTGCTATTTATTCTTCAGAAAACTGTACGTTTAACAGTAGGTTCCACTTTACTGCAAAATTACAAGTATTTTTTTCAGTAGATCTATTACAGTTTTCACTCACTGTTATTACATTTTTAGTCTTTTAAGATGGATTATGATAATTTTTACACTTAAAATCAACTTGAGGGTTAGTGGTAAGTATTAAATGTTGGTGCATCACTTGCACCACCTAGTGATGAACAAGAATACCCTAGCAACCGCATAGCAACGTGCTAAATAACACTCAGAACCCCTTACTCTGACAAACTCGCAATCTCTTCGGGAAGGCCTTCAGTGGTTAATAAAAGTGTTGTGTTATCGCTGACAGATGCAGTAATTTGGTGTAGTTTCTCATAAATATAAATTTCAGTATTACACAAACAAGACATGCAACGTTCCTCATCAATCACCGGCTCAAACACACACACACTGACGCTCATCTGCCATATCTGTAATTATGCGCCTTAATTCGATTGGCTGAATGTGATGATGTCAGAATGAATGAGTAATGAGCAGATTACAGTAGTAATGTTATTATGGGATGTTTCAGGAAGAGGAATACGACGTAATTACTTTATTCTATCGCAGAACATTATAAACGCCAGACAGCGTTGTTTTAGAAACTATATACATCATCACACACACACATTTATTAGTTTTCTAATAAACTTAGTTCATGTTCTGCTTTACACATAAAAATACAACTTTTTGAATCATAATAAGCATATGCAACCATATGCATTTTCAGTAAAGCTGTGTTGAAACGATGCGTATTATACATTTTTTAAAATTAAGAATACATATATTCTGGCAAATGTAATAGTATAATATTTTGACTATATAAAATGAATCAAATAAAAATGAATAAATTGAATAAGACATCAAAAAGTTAACAAGTATAAATAAATTTTACATTTTAAAAGTTTGATTTATGGAATTATAATGTTCATCAAATGTATTATATTTGAATGTCATTTTTAGCTTTTTTTAAAGGATTAGTTCACTTTGAAAAAAAAAAAACGTTTTGCTGATAATTTACTCACCCCCATGTCATCCAAGATGTCCACGTCCAAGTATTTAACCAATGAAAAGTGTTAAAAAGAGCTTGTGACTAAACTTCGCAACTCCATTGGCTCTTCAAACTGTCCGTCAAACCTCATAACTCCTCCCCTCCTCAATTTTAAATGAAGTGCAGTTATTTTATTGTAAAAAGACACGCCCACTTCTCACCTCTAGGCTTCTATAGTCAACACAATCTCAGTCAGTCACTCACTGGCATTCACATGAGAATTCAGATCATCATTCATTAAGATTTTGCATAAAGATAAATCTCTCTGTCCATCTGTATCTCACACACCATGCTCATCTGGCTAATGCGACCGTCCGAAACCACATGCATGCAAATCAAGCCACTAATCAACACAAACGATCCTGTCAGACTGTAGATCACTGGATGCAGACGAAAATAATGAAATAAATGAACGCCCTGATCTCTAGGTGTGTTTACAAGCTTCAGCTTACAGTTTACAATCAACCATAATAGTCGTCCTATCTCATTTGCATACATAAACAAAACTTATTTTGTGTTGTACTTAATAAAGAAAGTCAAACAGGTCTTTTTTTAAAACAAAAGAAAGAAAAGAAAAACAGCAGTGTGAAGAGAGCACTAACACAGCAGTCGGACACCGTTCAACTTCAATCAATCGATTTTATTGGCATCCTGATAAAAATGACTGACACGTCCGGATGTGATCTTGAATTAATCAAATGTGACCGAAATGAATGATGACACTACCACGTGTGACCTCAAACTGTATTCACACACTCTCTCTCCCTCACACACACACGTACTCAATCACTCACTCACTTACACACACTCTCTCTCACTCACACTCACACACTCACTCATTCACTCATTCACTCACTCACTCACTCTCTCTCACTGACTCACTCTTACTCACTCACTCACTCACTCACTCACACACACTCACACACACTCACGCACTCACGCACTCACTCACTCACACACACATTCACTCACTCACTCACTCACTCACTCACTCACACTGACTCACTCTCACTCACATACTCACTCACTTACACACACTCATTCACTTACTCAATCACTCACACATTCACTCACTCACTCACACACACTCATACTCTCTCACTCACTCACTCACTCACACACACTCATACTCTCTCACTCACTCACTCACACTCACTCACTCACTCACTCTCTCTCACTGACTCACTCTCACTCACTCACATACTCACTCACTCACACACACTCATTCACTTACTCACTCACTCACTCACTCATTCACTCACTCACACACACTCATACTCTCTCACTCACTCACTCACTCACTCAATCACTCACACATTCACTCACTCACTCACTCACTCACACACACTCATACTCTCTCACTCACTCACTCACTCACTCACTCACTCACTCTCTCTCACTGACTCACACTCACTCACTCACATACTCACTCACTCACACACACTCACACACACTCATTCACTTACTCACTCACTCACTCACTCAATCACTCACACATTCACTCACTCACTCACACACACTCATACTCTCTCACTCACTCACTCACTCACTCACATTCACGCACTCACTCACTCACTCACTCACTCACACACACTCACTCTCTCTCACTCACTCACACACTCACTCACATACTCACACACTCACTCACTCTCTCTCACACTCACTCTCTCACTCACTCAATCACTCACTCTCACTCACTCACTCAATCACTCACTCTCACTCACTCACTCAATCACTCACTCTCTCTCACTCACTCAATCACTCACTCTCTCTCACTCACTCACTCTCACACACACTCACTCACTCACACTCACGCACTCATTCACTCACACACACTCACTCACTCTCTCTCACACTCACTCTCTCACTCACTCACTCACTCAATCACTCACTCTCACTCACTCACTCAATCACTCACTCTCTCTCACTCACTCAATCACTCACTCTCTCTCACTCACTCACTCTCACACACACTCACTCTCTCACTCTCTCACTCACACTCTCACAATCACTCACTCTCACACAGACACACACACACACACACCCTGTTTCATACATCAGCCATCTGCAGCATGCGATCAGAAATCTCAGCGTTTCTGCCGCATTAAAAGTGACCCTGATTTACAGTTTTGCATTTAACATCAGTCATGACCTGGCAAATA